TAGTAAGGGGCGATTATGATTCGTACTACCTTTGTGGTAATTATGTGTGTATGGGGATTGACCTCGACCACTATATCCATGTATATTCGAAATTAAAACCTTAATAGGGCTGTGCTCTGATTTTGTGCCTTCAGGATTTTAGGGTTTTCCTGCTGGAGGCCCCAGGAGGCTGGAGGCTCCCTGAAGGCATTGGCCCAAGGCCCCTCCCTTGAGATGTCTGGAGGCCTCAGCCTCTGGAGGCCTGCCTTCGGTGGGCCCAATTCAAGAACGCGAGTTTATTTTCAGTTCAAGTTAATGCAGACTGCCCTCAATCTTTGAGATACATTGCCACGGGCCTGAAGCCTGTTGGGAGATTTCTGCAGGCTCCCCCTGGGCGTTCAATGTGAGAAACAAGTATAGATGTGGCATATAGAGGACACGGGCAGGTGGCGAGCAAAAAAAGAAAAGTGGTAGAAATGTAAATGAAGTGGGATTCTCGGAGGGTGGAGCGATACCAAATGCCTACAGTGATGCAAGACGTCCTGCTAGCTTTTAATTCTAGCCAATCAAAAACCCATACCTAACCCTAAACCCTAAACGCCAAACCCCTAAACCCTTAACCCTTCTAAACCCTAAGCTCCTAAAGCCCTAAACCCTCAACCCAGGATTCGGGCGCAGACCTGGCTGGGAGGCCGCGGCATGTCGTGATTTTGTTAGTGGGACTTGCGCGGAACGCGCACAAAAACAGGGGTCCCTTTGTCAGGGTATCAAGTTAGGGTTTATGGTACAGGGTCTAGAGTCTAGGGTTTAGGATTTAGCGTTTAGCATCTCATGCTTACCAGGATTGAAATTTAGGGTTAAGAGTTTAGGGCAGCAGCATAAGAAGGATTTTCGCGGGGACGCAGATCTATAGAACGACCCAAATGCCCAAAGTCCTCGGAGGTTGAGTTGTGGATATGTGAGCTATAATCAAAACTCCTTAAAGGGGGTGTTATATGAATAATATAGGGCATTTTATAGGGGACTCCTATAGGGCATATTCAAGGGGACACTAGGAGCTTCGATCATTCCATGGGCTTTATCTGCGGTGGGTGTTTCTTTATCGGTGTGGTCAGCAACCGTGGATGTGGGAGATTTGGCACCCCCAAGGGTCTGCGAAAAGAATTGAAGTGCTCTTTTGCCTGCTGTATTGCTGACTGCAAGGCCTCTTTGATGATGCGGCAAGTTGTGGGCATCACAGGCGCGGTGTGCAGTATGACCTCAACCCCAAACCTAAAACTTCAAATCCTCAACGCCAAAGTCTTAGCCCAGCAACCCCCAACCCTAAACCCCAAACCCTAAAACCCTCTTCCCCAGACACTCAACCTTTTCATACCCTCCAAACCCTCTTGCCGCCAAACCCGACACGGGAGCAGGCACTAGACAAACCTCGCGAGCTCGGGCGCGTTCGCCTGGCTCCGGGACTGTGACGGCGGGAAGTGATTTTACCCCACTCGGAGGGTCACAGAGACTTATCGAGTAGGTTAATGATGGGGATAACTGGGGTTATTAGGTTGGTTCTAGGCATTCTAAGTGAAGTGTAAGTATATTTGCTCATCTAGGTCCCTCTGACCCTCCAATCAGGGCTCCCAAGGTCAGGGTAGAATAGTGGGTTGTCAATTTTTAGTTTTTGTAGTACGGGGCTTTTTATTTAGGGTAGTCGCAAAGAATAGGACCACAGTTTTCGGAATCTCCCAGACGTGTATTTATGTATATATATATACATGTGTATATGTGTACATATGTTTGTAGATGTAGATGTGTATATAAGTATTTAGGTGGAATGCAGATGAACATGGAAGCTACGTAATCGATAACTTAGGATTCCGGGTTTGGGTCCCATGATGCGTAGACTTTGAGCCCAGAGCTACCAGTCTTGCAGTCTTGCAGTGCTTTGCATTTTGGGAACTCTTACCCTAAACCCTAAATCCTAAACCCTAAACCCTAAACCCCAAACCCCAAACCCTAAACTGTAACATAAACTGATCTGGGCAGGTGATCTCCGGCAGCAAGTCGCAGGCTTTTGGATTCGACCAGTTGTGTAGCAGAGCAACATCTGTTGCCAAGACCCCCCCAAAGGACCCCCCAAATTGGACTCCCCCGCGTAAAAAGACCCCCATGACTACATTGAAGCATACCCACAGGGAACAGATCGTAAGGGTTTAAGGTTTAAGGATTCAAAGCCCTAAGCTCTAAACCCTACACCGCTACCTGATTGCAGGGGCCCTCGCAGAACACAGCATATGGCTTTCAAAGCCCGGTGCAGCCGAGCCGACCATCTGTCGGCACGGCTGGTTGCGGGTCTGGCAGGCATGGACAAATTGCTTGCTACTGTAGGGTCTAGGGTTTAGGAGTTTAGGGGTTTGGGGTTTAGGTGGCCTAAACAATTGCCAATACTACAGGTCTGAATTCCCACATCATGATGGTAGAAGGTACCTCAGGTAGATCGCAAATGATATTGGCAAGTATTTAGGCCCATTTTACAGTTTCTTGGCGCCACACTTTCTTCAGATGTTTCTGCCCCGTGCAGTATTCCTTTTGCCGCTCCTGGCACTCGGGCTGTCAATGCGCCCCGGAATAGCACCTCTGGTGCAGTAGCAGTATGGCCCTCAGCTTTCATCAGAGAGTTCTTCAAGTCTTCGCAAGTTATGCATCCTAATTACTATTACTATTATTACTATCATGATTATAATTACTATCATGACTATTATTATTACTGTTAGACAGGGGCTGTATAAGTTGGCAAGATGATCTGCTCTGAGGCACCTGAGCCAAAGCCATCGCGGACATCGCGGCTTAGCGTGGTGGTCCGCAAGCGGCCAATGAACAAGAGGGAGGCCCGAAATATGGTTCCCAGTTGGGTTGTAGGCACGGTTATGATTGATTTATACTTACTCTGAACGTCAAAGTAAGTGTCATCAGGGTTTTGTGTATTGGGGTTACGTAGGGAGAATGGAAAAGAAGATGGAGACTACTATATAGTATATGGGGTTATATAGGGACAATGGAAAAATGGAAGCTACTAGTGTGTGTGTGTGTAACTAAACCCAAAACCCTATTGAGTAGATCGAATATGGCTTTGGGTATATTGTAATAAGATCCCGATATATACCATATTCTATCTACTACACGGGGACTATATTATATTCCTTTGTGACTTGCGCTGCGGATCTGCTTGTGATTTTGACCAAATGCTGGCAGGTTCAGACAGCACAACAAGATGTTGTGCTGTGCAGGTGCTTTGGCCTGTTGCGCATGATGTAGCCTGAGTTTGCTCAGAAGATGTGGTGTTGAGTGGGCGTGGCCCGTCTTTATGGTATAGTCCCCCTGAAGTAGATAGAATGTTAGGGTTATATTGGGATAATGGAAAAGAAAATGGAAACTGCTACATTAGATAGGGTTAGAGTCCCCCTTAGGTAGATAGAATCTGGGGTATATGGGGATCTTATTTTCATATGCCCAAAGCCATATTCTATCTACTTCAGGGGGACCTTAAACCCTAAATAGTAGCTTTAATTTCTCTTCCATTATCCCTATATAACCCCTATATAACCCTTATATTCTATCTACTTAAGGGGAGTACAGGTCTGGAGTGCATAGAGCAGAGAAGCCTGAGGGCTTTGGGAGCTTGGGAGCTCAAGGGTTTAGGGCTTAGGGTTTAGGGTTTAGGGTTTAGGGTTTTGGGCTTAGGGTTTAGGGTTTAGGGCTTAGGGTTTAGGGTTTAGGGCTTGGGCTTTTGGGCTTAGGGTTTAGGGTTTAGGGTTTTGGGTTTTGGGTTTAGGATGCTGTGCAACGACCCTGCCAGGGAAAGTGCCGTGATAGTGCGCGAGCCGAAACTCAAGGTTGACCTCACGCGCTATGTAGAGGACACGCTTGGCAATCAACAACCTTCGTGATTATCGAAGGGTTACTCTGATTAATATTGCAAATATGGGTATTATCATTTGTATTATTATTGTTATTATTGCCATTATTATTGCTATTAGTACACATATTGCCACTATAAAAAGGCTGGATACTCTGCAGCACGCATGTTGCACTCAAGCTCTGTGGAAGGAGCACAACTTCCTTTTCGATCAGGCATTTGATGAAACGGCCCGTAGCTAAGACATTGTCAAGAAGCTCAGAATTCAAATGCGTGGCTTGCATCTATGCATCAGGGCTTTTTCACACATCATGGATAGTAAGCCCCGAGCCCTCGACCCCAAACCCTCAGCCCTAGATCCTAAGCCCTAAGCTCTAAATCCTAAATCCTAACTCCTAAATCTTAAATCTTAAACCTTAGGAGTCAAGGTTTCCAGGGTTGTACCCCTAGGCTGGCAACCCAAGGTTTTAGGATCCCTTGAAGGAATCCCAGGGAGCTACATTGGTTCATGTAAGGCTTAGATCAGGGCTATATGAGACAAAATCTGAAAATATCTGCATATAGGGTTACAGTAGGGATTACATAACCATATTAGGGTCTAAGCTCCTTAAAGAGAGTTATGTAAGGGATTATATAGAGGACTATTATGGGCGCTATTAAGGGGGATGCTAGGAGTAACTATGGCGCATATTGGGGGAGCCAAAAAGGGGTATGACCTAAGGGGTACAAACCCTAAACCCTAAACCCTAAACCTCTTTGCCAAGGTGACCAACGAGTCGCTCTACAGGTCCTGCGTCCAGCCGATCATTGACGCTGCGGTTGCCCCAGCATCATCATTGGTGGATAGACGGGAGCAGCGGTGTCAGGGTTTAGGGTCTAGTGTTTTAAGGGTTGTCCCAATACAATCGGTTTAGGCTTATTCATGCTGACTTTCCCCCTCCTCTGCCCTCAGCTCTAAACTCCAAAATTGGTACAGTCATTTCCGCTTTTCTTTTTTTTCTTTCACATCCTTAATGCCTCAACCCTGAAACCCTACATTCGGAACCCTCAACCCTGAACCGTAAGTACCCGTCAGCCCTTGTCAGCTGACCTCCCGTAGAGCGGTGCCTGGGCCAAGGTCTTCCACCGAGCCAAGTGTACATGCTTCGCGTGCCCCAGTTGAGTGTTTGTTGGTTTCAGTGTAGGGACATTATCGAGCTTAAGTTATTTCAGTTCATACAGGGATATATAGTTTGTATCGTCTGGATCTATGTTGGGTCCCCCATTTCTGGGAATCCCTTTGCAGTTCCCAACACAGAATACGATCATGGTCTCTCTCTTCTTCCTGCTAGCTAAACCCAAACCCTAAATTGTAAACCCAAACCCTAAACCCACACCCTAGACCCTAAACCAGAAGTGGCGCTTGGCCTTGCCTCATCATCGGAAGTCTCAAGCCTGGTTAGCTAGAACCTAAACTCCTTAAAAGGGCTTCTATAATGGATCTTATAGGTGAGAATTTTAGGGGGCATTAGGGGGGATACGCAGAGTTTAGACTATGGCTCATATAGGTGTTATACAGGCTTGTATAGAAACATATAAGGGTTCTATGTTGATATATAGGTGTGTATATGTACATGTTCATGTCTATGTATACATACACAGCAACGTCTTCTGTGTATACGGATCTACAGGGATGTTTGCTTAAATCGGTACAAAGACGTAGATGGATACATGGGGACATGCTTTTCAAGGTATGGTCAGACACCCTAAACCCTAAACCCTAAACCCTAAACCCTAATCCCTAATCCCTAAACCCTAAACATTCGAGGTATGGTCAGACAGGAAGCGGGAAGACCTTCACCATGATGGGGCCTCCCAAGCGCTTGGTGCGCCTGCAGAGCAGCTTCTTGCAGGGTGAACCTGGAACCCCATTGGGGGTTAGGGTTTGGGGTTTATTGTTTGGGGTTTAGGGTTTAGGGTTTGGGGTTTAGGGTTTAGGGTTTGGGGTTTAGGGTTTAGGTTTTGGGCTTTAGGGTTTGGGCTTTAGGGTTTAGGGATTAGGGTGTAGGGATTCGGGTTTAGGGTTTAGGGGTTTAGGGATTAGGGTGTAGGGATTAGGGTTTAGGCTTTAGGGATTAGGTTTAGACTTTAAGGACGCGGGGCTCGTGCTTCAGAAGTCTTGTTGCTTCGGCAATGGACTTTTGGGGTCTAGGTTTTAAAGATTAGAGATTAGGGTTTCGGGTTTTGGGTTTAGGGATATGAACCCGGTAATGGAGAAACAGATGCAAAATGAGATCGAAACTCGGGTTTCTGTAGTGGTCACATGAAATACGTTTGGTTAGCAGGGAATGAAGGAATGGAAAGCACCATGGAAGCGATCATGTTATTTGGGGTTATATAAGTTATATAGGCTTTTTCCAGTCTTCAGAGCGTTGTTTCCTGAACCCTAAGCCCTAGACCCAGGTGGCGAGGTTGATTACTCTTGCTTTGTTGAGAATGGTGGAACTCGTTTTGGGGACGATTTTTTGGACTGGTCTGGTGATCATGCGCGGGCAGCGTATGGGGCCGGTTTCCTTCTAAACCAACTTCGAAACCTTCAACTCTACACCTTAAACCTGAAGCCCCAAATCCAAACTTTGAGATTTGCAGTAGTTTGCATTTTTCATTTGCCCATAAAATCCTTGTATACCCCTATAGAATCCTTCCCTATAGACTCCCTATACGATCCTTCCATTCTTCCATTCTCCTATTTTCCCAACCCTAAACCCTAAGCTCTAAACATGTTAGCACATGCTCGCAGGTGGAGAGCCTGTCGCCAGAAGAGCGAACTCCTGGCATCTTCCTGCTTGCAGCACAGGCCTTGCTGGGGTTTAGGATTTAGGGGTGGATTGGATACGCAAGAATAACTTATCACATATAAACAGACGAATCAATCAATGGTTAAAACATATGTCTATATACATGTATACGTATACCCATAAACATGGGGAAAGGAAGGTAACATTGAAGCTACTATATGTTTTTGTTCCGGCAACCCTAAACCCTGAACCCTTAGGGTTTACCGTTTCGTTGTGCTTGCTGCTCTCACTGGCCCATGTAAGCAAGCTGTTTACGCAGGGTAGTGCTAGAGAAATCTTGTTGCTTCGGCAATGGATATTTTAGGATTTAAAGTCTACAGAAATTGCATAGGGTCCGTGTCCGGAGTTTCGAGCCACTGATGGGCGACTTTGTTGTATCTTGTGCCGTTAGATGTTTAAAGCCTGTACAATTTTCTATGTATCCTAGGCTTGAGGGTTTAGGATTCAGGGTATCTTACCCCAATCATGGAGAAGAACATGGAAAACGGAATGGAAGCTGGATTTGTACGGAGTTTATGAGGCTTACTGGGGTTACTGATAGGGCTTCAAGGGGGCCCCGTGACCCTCCAAGTGGGTACGGGACATTTTAATTGCTTTCACATGGTGGCCTTGAAGCCTCGCCAAATTGACAAAACACCTTTACCAAGATCCCTTAACCTAAATTGGCAAAGCACCTTCACCCCGCCACGAGGACATCTTCAGATCTGTTGCAAGCAAGGCCTGCCAGCGCTGTAACAAAGATAGTAATGCTACCTGAGTTTAGGGTTTAGGGAGGAGGGTTATATGTGGATACATGGCGTTATATAGCGGCATATGGGCGATACATAGCAAACATGGACAAGTAAATGGAAACTACTGTTTCGGGTTTTTAATCATGTCATGATGCAACTGCAGGCCTGATGGCATGCAGAGCAAGTAGCACCGTCAAGCTTTTGTTTGCCTTGTTGTTTCCTCTGACTTCATAACCAAAACCTCCAGCATTCTTCCTTGCGTTGCAGGTCCCAGGGGCTTCAGTTCTTTGGACTTGTACTTCAGTACTATGACTGCTTAGTATGATGACTACCACTGCAGTGTCATGAAGTGTGCATATTCGTTAGCCGCATAAACATGAATACTTCCGTCAACTACAACCATTTGGCCTATCATTGCTACTCCTAGCCTTTGTAGAGGCAAGTGCACTCTTCTGGCCTTTGGTTAGCTAGGAATGAAGGAGTGGATCCTTATAGTAGTCCCTTTATAGCCCATTATAGTAGTTTCCATTTTCTTTTCCATTCCTAAACCCTAAACTCTTTAAAATCGTATCACAGTACCCATTATGGTAGTTCCATTTTTTTTTCCATTCCTTCATTCCCAGCTAGCCAAAGGCCGGTCTTTCTGTGGCAGTAGGGCTTTTGAAGGACTACTCGCACCTCGGGGTCTTCATTGCCTTCTACGAGATCTACTGCGGCAAGCTATTCGATCTCCTCAACAACAGGCGGGCGTCAGGGTCCGGGTCGTGCGCTTAGATAAGTCTAGTGCTTTGTAATATGCCTACCCACTTGTTGTCTGGCTTTTGCTGCGATACAAGTTGGGGCCCGCACGAAGGCAGATCTTGCACGCCCGCGAGAATGCCAAAGGCAACGTTGTCATTGCTGGGCTGCAGGAGCCCTCCCGCTGCAGCTGAAGTGAATCCCTGCCCTTTAAACCCTAAACAGTAGTTTCCATTTCCTGTACATTATCCCTATACAACCCCAATACAATCCATAGTAGTTTCCATTTGTCCATCTTCCCATTATCCCAACCCTAGATCAAAACATGGTGAAGTCTTAAGCCTATGACTTACTGAAGTGCAGCTCATGCATATGAGCCATAGTCTAAACTCCTCAGAGCTATATAGGGGATTATACAAGGAAGTGTTATAGGGGTTATTAAGGGGGATACTAGGAGTTTAGCCTACAACTCATATGGTTGAATCAGACGAGCAGATCTTCAAAAGTATTTTTGCTGATGCTGTGAAGTGACAGCCCAAGCGCGTTACACAATCTCTCGGGAAGACATATTGGCTTGTCAAAACTACGTGGAGGGTCAGCGGCACTTAGTAAGTAGATTTATAACTCCCAAGTAAGCTACATTGTAACTCCAGTCATCCCTACTGTTAGCATACTTACTAAGTCCCCTGACCCTGAACCCTCAACCCTACCAGCGGATCCTGACCCTCCAAGCATTGTTCCGTCTCCAGCACATTGCATGCCGGGTTTTGGGGCGCATCGTCATGGGAACTCGATGAAGTAACCTTCTTGGAGGATTCTATAGGGTCAGTTAGGAGGAGTGGAAAATGTAATGGAAACTGCTGGATTTGGGGATGTAGAGATTATCTAGTGGAAGCGGACAAGCAAATGTAAACTTTTAATTTGGAGTTTAGGGTTTAGGGTTCAACCCCAAACAGGGAACCCCAAGAAGAATATAGTAGGAGTATAGCTACCAGGGTCCTTATATTCTAACGCGCCAGGAGCATCCCGTTGGGAATGTCCAGGATCTCATGGAGGCCTGATCAAGCTGAGCCTGGTAGCTTAGGTTTTAGGGTTTAGGGTTTAGGGTTTAGGGGCTTCATAAGGGGGCTTCCCAAAAATGTAACGGGGATACATAGGGGTTGTATAAGGGTTATATGCTACCATACTGGGGATGTTTAAGCTTGGACCCTTCTGTGGGGATCCTTGTAGTGAGGATGTCATATTTGGGAGCCTTGTTTCGATCGCTGAACCCTAAAACCTAAAGCCCTATCCCTTGGGCCCAAAACTACACTCCCGGAAGCTAACATGGAAACTCAAAAAGGGCCCAATAAAGATTACAGTCCTTCTAAAAGGGTACTATATGGGTTCCCATGTTAGTTTGGGGGAGTGTACTATACTTTCACTTTAACTATTCTTGTCGTCATACTCTTGATACTGATTCTTATTGTTATCCCTTGTGTTGTTCCTGAACCCGAAGCCCTAAACCTAACCGCATCTGCCTTGTTGTTGAGGTAATCGAGTTTGGGCTGAACAGCCGGACCACGGGAGTCACTGGCGCCAACGTGGACTCGCAGTTGCCTTGGTAGGGTTTAGGGTTAGGGTATTTGAAGGCTCATGGGACCCCGGGATGGGTAGTTCTAGGAGGGTTTGTAGGGGTACCTCTTAGGACCTGTTAAAGGGAGTTATAGGCGTGTGTGTGTCCACACACTGTACATACATATATATGAATATATACGGCTTGAGGATTAAGGTTTAGGGCACTTGAAGGTTCATGGGTTGTGACGACTGGTTCTATAAACAGGACAGCGATTGAACCTTATAACCGAATGTATGATTATTCGTGAACCCTAAAACGGTCCTACATGCCGTAAACGCGCGCCTTCAGACGCAACAGCCATGAGGACAGCTCAAAAACCCTGCTGTGCGTGGCGCTTCTGGCATCGGGCGCTTTCCAAGAGGCTTCCCAGAAAAGGGAAAAATTGCTCAACAAATCCTGAAATTTGTGCTGTCGCTGTGGTTTTGCGCGCATGGGGGCGGTAAAGACACAACGGAGTCAGTGTTTTACAGCTTCAGCCAGGCACTGTCTGTGTCCGAGTTCAGGAAGTCCCTCGGACCATGACCCAGCGGTTTCATCCGGGCTTGTCTGTACACTGCAAGCGCCTGCACCACAGTCATGAGTCCGGGATGCTCACGCAGTCGCTGTGTTGACAAGACCATACAGTCCACTTCCCTTGGGGAAGTTCGGCCTAACGTGTTTTGCTTGCGCATGATGTGCTTCACTGCGGCAAACTGAGATTCGGCTTTGGGCATAGATGCTCTGGTCTGCCTATGCTCTTGGAGACCCTGGATTTTGTCATGGTCGCCGCATGGATGCTCTGCGAAATACGCGATGCGTGGTGGCAGCAGTGATTTTGAGGCCTCGGAAGGACCGAAAGTGCTGTTTGTCCCACGCAGGCCAGTTCCGATGGGCTCCGGCGGGAACGCATTTTTCTTGCGTTTACGTCATGTAGGTGCCCTAAACAAAGTTATCATCCCCCTTTATAACCCTTGTGAATCCTGATATATAGTCCGCCTTAAACAGATAGAATATGGCTTTGGATAAGATCCCCATATACACCATATTTTATCTACTTAAGGGGGACTGTACTTCTATCAATTTCTATGAATCCTATGTAACCCTAGACCCTTAGTCCTAAACCCTAGACCCTAGACCCGAATTCCTAAACCTTCAACCCTAAGCCCTAAATCCTGAACCCTAAGCCCTAAATCCTGAACCCTAAGCCCTAAGCCCTAAATCCTACCCCCTTAAAACCTACTAAATCGGCCCAAGGTCTCGATCCCACGCAATCCTCCAGATAAGCTTGAAGGCTCTAGACTCGAAGGAGGACCTCTCTGGTTGAAAGGCTTTAGGGCTTAGGGGTTTTAGGGGTTAGGACTTAAGGGTTTAGGGTTTAGGGCTAGGGGTTAGGACGTAAGGGTTTAGGTTTAGGGTTAGGGGTTAGGACGTAAGGGTTTAGGGGGTAGGAGTTGAAGGTTTAGGGGTTAGGGTTGATGGGGTTTAGGGTTTAGTGTTTAGGGGTTAAGGGTTTAGGGGTTAGGAGTTGAGGGTCAGGGCTTTTTCCTGAAGTCTTGTGTGGGAGTTTCTCAAAATCGCCCTTGTATTGTCTCTGATGAGTTCCCATAATTTTCATGACCAGTCCTTTGGAGAAACTCCCATATGGATGATAGATCACTTCAGTTCATGAGACATTTGATAATCAATGGGAAGTGAACCCTAAACCCCTCAACCCTAAACCCCAAACCCGCTAAATCCGTTATAGAGTTCAGGCGTCCCTGCCCTCCACGCGCAAGCCACATGGCCTAGGGTCTAGGGTTTAGGTATGGATGATCCATTGAGTAAGCTGTGTTCAAGGCTTAGGGGTTGGGGGTAGTCGTGACAATGTTGTTCTCAGCATTATAACTTGGATTTGCGCATGGTATTCCTATCTGCAGTAAAGGTTCGTGACCATTAGTGTCCGCATGGCATCATTCTTTTTGTGATTTGTTGCTTTCGGGCATTTGCTTTCTACTCTATGTCTACCTTATACCTCCTACGCACCCTAAACCCTCAATCTTAAGTCCGGATACGGGATGCTAATACGAACCCCTAGAAGTTTCCATAGTCTGTTTAATAGGGACTCCCTGAAAAGGTTAAGTATTGGAAGCCCCAAGCCTTATGTCTCCCTGTATATCGCTTATGTCATGCCTATATGTATCTTCATAACCTTACATCATTTCTAGCCCCAATCCCTGAACCCTGATCTAAGGTCTGACCCATGAGCCCGCACTATGCGCCCCTACCTCTTTTTTTTTTAGTTTGAGCTATGCGCCCTAAATTGGGTGTTAAGGGTTGCATATGCTCTATATCAGGTATATATGGACCCTAGGATTTAGGACCCATACCACCCACGGTTCCAGATATAATCCTGCTACCCCAAAACCTAAACTCTAACTCCTAAACCCCAAACCCCAAACCCTAAACCCTAAACCCAAACCCTAAATCCCAAACCCTAAAACCTTAAACCTTAAACCCTAACCCCTAAACCTTGAACCCTAAACCCAAACCCTAAACCCCGAACCCTAAAGCCCTAAACCCTAAGAGGAGCATGGCAAGATCTCCTTCATAGACTTGGCCGGCAGCGAGAGAGGTGCAGACACCCTGGACACGGACCGCCAGGCCTGCACGGGTGAAGGGGAGCGGGTTTAGGGTCTAGGGTTGACATATTGGGGTTATATAGGGGTTATATTGGGATAATGGAGAATAAAATGGAAATTTTCATAATGGGTCATATAGGGTTTACAGGTTGTAAATAGGCTTTGGGGTTTAGGGTTTGGGGTTTCGGGTTTAGGTTTTGGGGTTTTGAGTTCAGGGTCTAGGGGTTGCGGTTTATAGTTCGGGGCTTAAAGTTGAGGGGGTGAGGTTCGGGGATGATGGGTAAGGGTTTGGGGTTTGGTGTCTAGGGTTCAATTGGGTTTAGCATTGTCATGATGTCAAAAAAAATCGCAGTCATGCCCAGGAACGTAGTTTGCACGAGAACAGTGATTTGTGCAAGAAATGAGCAGTCAGGAATGATGTCAGCATGAGTGGCATCTCAGCACAAGATAAGACTGCAAAAGCGCCAAGAAATAGATGAGCATGCCGGTAAGTGTGCCAATTGCAACAGTTCGCATTAGACTCACAAGATCGTGTTTTGTTTTGGCAACACTTAACGCGTGCTTGGCAGACACGTATGGACGGCGCGGAGATCAACAAGTCCTTGTTGGCGCTGAAGGCAGCTGGGTGCATGCGAAGCTTTGCACTGAACTTGGAGGCTGTCATGAGCTTAGCAATATAGGGGATTATATAATGACAATGGAAAAGAACATGGAAACTATTATAATGGGGATATTTACGATCATATAGGGGTTCTACAGGGGATTTCAGTGTAAGTAGATTTCGCATCTTTTTCCACACCTTTGTTCAATGGAATCCACCTCAACCTCCCATCCAAACCATTTGGATTGATCTCTGGACCAAGCCAGACTGGTTCTTAGCAGGGAATATGGGAATCCCTATATAATATATTTCCATATTCCCTACTCACCCTAAACCCTAAACCCTACATATTCCCATAGCCCCTACTAAGAACCAGCAAGACCAACCTGACAGGAGTGCATTCGAGCCTTAGATCAGCAGCTGGACCACACACCCTTCCGTGGTTCCAAGCTGACGCAGGCACGACATAGAATTGCCGGTCATCGTAGCTTTAGGGTTTCCACAAGTGCTGGATTGCATTGCGCATGGGAGTTGCGTGGGCCACCACCCAGCACAGGTGCTAAAAGACTCCTTCGTCGGTGCCAACTGTCGCACCGTTTGTGGCTCAGTTTGTTGAAGCCTGGCATGCTTCTCAGAAGTTCTGTGTCTGGGCAGTATATAGATAAATGGATTCCCCTCTCGCCTAAGCCCTAAGCCCTAAACTTGAATCCAGCAAAAATGAAATCAGTTCAAGCCAATGGACAGGTGATGATTGCCAATGTCTCTCCTTGCAGTGGTGCAGTGGAGCACTCCTTGAATACGCTCAGGCCAGTTTGCGCTTAACCCCTAAACCCTAAGCCCGTAGATGCGAGGTTGACTTTCCTAGCTGCAGTGCGTTTGTTGTAAGCCTGGCTGGCTCCCCACAAAGGGGCCCGAAAGCTTTGGACCCCCCCCCCCAGATGGCAGGTATGCCTACCGAGTGAAGGAGCTTCGAAGCGCGCCCGCGCCATCCAAGGTGGTGACACAAATGCCAGGCAGGGGGGCTGCCTTGCGAGTAGACAGGGGTAGGTTTGAGCACAATTTTATTAATGTTTTCTGTTTCCTTTCATTCCTATATAATCCGTATACAGCGGGCTTGCCCCTGAATCTCAAATCCTCAACCCCAAACTGTGAGGCTTGCCAGCTTGAGCGGGGAATTTGTACGCAGCATTTGCGGCCTGCTTCAGGAAAAGGAAGTAAACAAATGCCTGAGTATCCCTATATGACACACTTTATAACCCTGCCTATAAGTACACTATAACAAGTTTATAAACCCATAATTATGTACTTTAAGTAATTTATAAACACACAATTGTGTACTGTAATTAGTTTATAAGCCCAGAATTACGTATTTTACCTATGCACTCTAATTAATTTAAAAGCCGCCGATTATTATGTTCTGTAATCAATCGATAAATCCACGGCTATGTATTCGAATTAAGTATAAGCCTATGATTTGGTATTCTAAACCCCTACACCCCTAAGCCCCTCAACCCTAAACCCCTAAACCCTAAACCCCTAAACCCCTAAACCCTAAACCCCGCTACGTTCCCTCGTCTCGCCGGGTCTGCGAAAGGTTTGAGTGTATGCAAGGCACGAAAATACAGAGAATTTCCATATGAAATGCGTTTAGAGGAGCCCGAAAGAAGCTTTATCCCAGGTCGTTTTTTCTGAAAAAAAGCGACCCAACATAAAACAGCTGCCAGGGATGAACACCTGAAGGGCACTGGCAGGATTGCGCATGATGAGGGGATCCATGCCCTTTGACTGGACCTGCGAAGCAACAATCTCAGTAGGATTTTACATGTTGAGGGGCTACGAGTGCGGATGCTCTGGTGTCTGTATGCTCTTGGAACACGAACTGAGTTATGGTTTGGGCATTAATGCTCTGGTGACCGCATGCTCTTGGAACGCGAACGGAATTGTGGTTTAGGCATGGATGCTGTGGTGACCGTATGCCCTTGGAACACGAACGGAATTGTGGTTTAGGCATGGATGCTCTGGTGACGGCATGCTCTTGGAACACGAACGGAATTATGGTTTGGGCATCAATGATCTGGTGACCGCATGCTCTTGGAACACGAACGGAATTGTGGTTTGGGCATGGATGCTGTGGTGACCACATGCTCTTGGAGCACGAGCGGAATTATGGTTTGGGCATGGATGCTCTGGTGACCGCATGCTCTTGGAACACGAACGGAATTGTGGTTTGGGCATGGATGCTGTGGTGACCGCATGCCCTTGGAACACGAACGGAATTATGGTTTGGGCATCAATGCTCTGGTGACGGGGGCACCTATACTGAGGATGATCACATGTATGGGGGTACTCGTATTTAGGGAATCTACCACATCTGATAGACCTAAACCCTTCCCTTTTTCGTAAACCCTCAATTTATTCCCGTTTCCCGAAGCCCGTTTGGAGGATTTTCATACAAGAGAGCCAGAAGGCCTTTTCCATGTAGTCTTGCAGCCCTCTAATTAGTTATCAGGCATGTTTTTGCTTGGGCCCTAGGCCCACACTCGTCCGCACATTGGATGTCAGTGCGCCGCCACCACCACCTAACCCCCTAATCCTAAATCGTAAACCCTAGACCCTAAACCTTTGACCATGTATGGATGCTCAGGTCCCTCTGCCGAGGCCACGCAACAACTCTGTGCCATGCAGGCATGTTAGGGGTTTAGGTTACAGGGGTTATATGGGGGTGATATAGGGGTTGAAAAATGGGATAATGGAAAATGAAATGGAAACTACAATTTAGCGTTTAGGGTCTAGGGAGTAGGGTGTATATAGGGCTTGGGATCAGGATCTAGGGCTTACGTAGGTTTACATAGGGTTTGGGTTTGTATAGGGTTCATGGTTTTGGGATTAGGGTTTATACAGGGTTTAGGGTTTATATAGGATACATACTAGTAGGGTTAAGGGCTTGTACATGGTTTAGGATTTAGATGGATTTAAGGTTTACATAAGGTTCAGGGTTTCTGTGCTCGTTGAGACTGGCAGCTTCCTTGCTGCTTGCAGGGCGATCTGACAGTGGATCGATCGAGTGAGGGCCTCGGATCGCTGATTGTTCGAATGTGAGGGTTCCCAAAACATGGAATACCTTTTGGGGTCCTTATTAAGGATTATAGTATTTGGGATCCCCCATTTTTGGAAACTACCATGCAACATTAGGGCCTAAACAAGTAGAGCAGAGTTCTGGGGTCCATTAAATCATAGTTACATCGGGATTGTGAGGCATAAAAGGTAATGATCCACGTTTCCAGGCTTCTACAGTAGCTGTCAATGCTTTGCCATCGCCGTTGCCTTGCAGGTGACAGCAGTGGCTGCGAGGAAATCCAGCCGACTTTCCGACATGATTCTCGCACTTGGCATTACTGAAAATTCCTCTAGATCTCGCAAGAGCCCCTGAGTTCAGGGGAGTCCAATTTTTTATGGGGCCCACTTTTTGTTTGGGAGTCCCTGTGATCAGGTTTAGAGATGTTATAGTATGTCGGGTTCGATTACTGCGGCCGCCTATTTCTGAAGCCCCACCGATGGCAGGTAGGGTTCGTAATCTTGCCACATTCACAGACAACGAGATGCCCTAAACCCCAAACCCTAAACCCTGAATCCTAAACCCTAAGCCCTAAACCCTAAATCCTAAACCCTAAACCCCAAGGCACGATAAAACGAACCAAGCACTAAACCCTAAACTGGGTTGCTGTTAAGGAACTTAATTTAAGTTACTATCTTGGGGAAACCCTATTTTTTTCCTATATATACCCATTATGGTAGCTTTATTTAAGTTCTTTAACAGGAACCCAGTAAACTCTAAACCGTGGCTCAGCCGTTACTTGCCGGGGCCAGGCCACAACCTGCATATCGACGTAACTTCAGCAACGATCCCCAGGAGACCTTCCACGTTTGTTCCAGTGAGTTTTTATAGGACTTAGGGTTTATGGATTAGGGTTCGGGTTTAGAGTTTAGGTTTTTGTTGCAACTGCTAGACTTCTGCGTGTCAGTATTGCTAGTAGTTGTACTACCATGATCTAGGTGGCTCGTATTTCTTGTTACCATTGTTTATATGCCTATTCGTACCATTAACATTCATATGTTCTCAGAACCATTGTCATTATTCTTGTTCTTATTGCCATGACCATTACGCAGCCTGCTGTGCGAGGCTTCGCCCGCGAGCCAGGGCAGCGGGTCCAGTTGGAATGGCACACAACGGCTGGCGACGTCGGCACAGGCAAGGTGGACATCTTCCTATATAACATATTCCCGTTCCTTATTACATATATATCCCATTATAATATAGTAGGTTCCATCATCTTTTCCATTATCCCTATGTAATCCTGTATATTTCCTATTGTAACATTCGTAGTTTCCATTTTCTTTTCCAGTATCCTTGTACTACCCGTATATTCCAACCTGTTACACTCTAAACCCTTTTGGTTCATTGTGGATAGTCGTTCCCGTAATTTTCTTTTCTATTCCCCCTATATTCCCTTAAAGGCTGAGGGAGGCTGCGCTTGAAGATTCGCGCAGTGAGGTAGCCAGCGCCGTGGCTGCGGTGCCCAGCTCAGCGCGAAACTGCTCTGTTCACCTGAGCTATAGTCTAAACTCCTTAAAGGGGCTATATACGGATTCTCTAGGGGTTATTAGGAGGGATACTAGGAGTTTAGACTATAGTTCACGTCTTGCGTGTGATTTGCATGGTTGAGGCCAATGCAGCCGCAGCAGCAGTTCTGCCATTGCAGCAGCACATGCAGCAGAAAGAACTTCAACAGCAGCCACCCCCAGCACAACATGCAACACCGCCACCAAATCCAAGCCCTCCAGCGCCGCCCACGTCTCACTCACAACAGCAGAATTCCAATCACCAACAGCCATTTCAGTCCACGCCACAGCCTATGCCGGCACAACTGGTGCAGCCAGCTCAAGCAGCGCAGCCAGTCTTGCAACAAGCTGTCGTTCAAGACCCTGTCGGAAGCTGAGAAAACGCTGTCTACACTCAGCTAACTCAGGAAGTTTGGGGACAGCGAAGTCATCAGACGTAAGTGTGTGCAACTTTCAGATATGTCGCCCCTTCTCTTGGATGGATGCTAAAGATTCCTCATGACCTTACTACATGGGGATTGTCCTGAATTACTGTCAATACGGGGTCCTATATTTAGGTTCCTATTATAAACCCTAAACCCTAAACCCTAAACCTTGGGAACAGTAATTTAGGGCAACCTCTACATTGAACTGCTGTAGTTCCTGAGGTGCTCAGAGTCATGCAGGAACTTTGGGATATCAACACGGTTTAGGGTTTAGGGTTTAGGGTTACCCCAACAATGGAGAATCAAATGGAAAAGAAAATGGAAATTGAAACGGAAACTGGGGAATATATGAGGTTATATTGGGATAATGAACTCCCCTGTGGAATCCCCAGTTTAATTTCGATTTCCGTCGGATTCTGTAGTAGTGGGGTGCGGCAATCCGCCTCCATGATAGCCTACAACGTCCTACATAACCCCTATATGTATGCCTATCTATCCCCGTATATACTTCTATACAATCCCACTATAGTCCTCTCTGTCCACAAAAAACATTTTGCACCCTAGACCCTAAACCCTAATCCCTAAACCCTAATCCCTCAGCCCTAAACCCTAAACCCTCAACCCTAAACCCTACACTTACTAAGTCCCCCACTATCCAAGAAGAGTCAGAGTCAACCTGAGGCTGCAGTGGGCATTCCTGACTGCTCCCAAGCGGCCTTGGATGAGTCCTCCTGGCTGTTGCCCTGATTTTCAATAGGGTTAGGGCTTGAGGGTTTAGGGAGTAGAGTTTAGGGTTTAGGGATTAGAGTTTACGGTTTAGGGATTAAGGTTTAGGGCTTCGGGATTAAGGGGTAGGGTTAAACCTAAGCCGCTAAGTACCCTAAAAAGGCCCTAAACTGCTGCAGGTTCTGGGGCAGTGGCATCCGCATCCCTCGATACACTCTAATGTGCACATGGAGGTTGCCAAACATAGCGTCTCAGCCATTGTAAACGATCCCCATACATGGATTCGTATTTGCTTTAAACCACAATTTTCTGGGTTCCTGCTAAAGAACTTAAATAAAGTTACCATAATGGGTATACATAGTAAATAATATGGTTTCCCCAAGATAGTAACTTAAACTAAGTTCCTTAACAGCAACCCAGTTTTTTGGAAACATCCCAACCCAAGCCGGTAAAAACCTATTGCGCCGCTCAGGTCTTCCAAGCATTGAACACACTGCTCCTGAAATGTGACTTGAGGGGCCAACCAGAGGTAAGGGAGCTAGCACGTGCACACGATGCTGTTTTATCAGAGCTTTCAAAATCATGGTGAGAACATGATTATAACCCCTATAGATCCCCTAATGTAACCCCTACAGAACCCCTAATATAACCCCTAATATAACCCCTAATAGGAGCCTTAATATAAGCCCCAATATAGGATGTGTCATGGTAGGAACATGATTGATGATTAAGCGCAACATCCCTTACCCGAAATGCCAGCATCCCCAAAACCAAGCCCCAACTCTGAAGCCTCCACAAGCTCCAAGCCCCCGCTCAATCCCAGCCCCTAATATAAATTATACTCATTTTGTTGGGGAAGATATCTATTTTGGTAGGGAATATATTCATTTTGTTAGGGAATATATCCATTTTGTTAGGAACTATGTACTATTCGAGGGCGGGTTTAATATCAGGGGGGGGTTCGGAAATGGGCGGCCCTCAGGGGAAGTAAACGGGGGAAAACGGGGTTGAGCCCGTGCAAGTAAGTTTGCTTTTTATAACCATGCCTCTAATCCCTTATGATGATCATGTAGCACTAAAAGCCCCTCTGTTGAGAACCCATCCAACCTCAACCCTAAACCCTAAGCCCTAAACCCTGAACCCTGAGCCCTAACAAGCCCAAAACCCGCAACCCTAAACCCTCAACGCTGAACCCTAAACCCTTAACTCTGAACCCTGAACCCAAAACCCTGAAACCTAAACCCTAGACCTTAAACCCTGAACCCTAAACCCCTGAATCCTAAACCCTACACCTCAAACCCTGAACCCTAAACCCTACACCTTAAGCCCTGAACCCTAAACCCTACACCTTAAACCCTGTACCCCAAACCCTACACCTTAAACCCTGAATCCTAAACCCTACACCTTAAACCCTGAACCCTAAACCCTACACCTTAAACCCTGAACCCTACACCTTAAACCCTGAACCCTAAACCCTACACCTTAAACCCTGAACCCTAAACCCTACACCTAACG